ATTATCAATATTAAAATATTCTTTCTTACATTTTATGGAAATTGTCATCTTATAGGAAATATGCATTATGATGATCACTGTAGAGTATGTCATCGTCTGGGAGATTTATTATGTTGTGAAACCTGTCCAGCAGTGTTTCATTTAGAATGTGTTGAACCTCCGTTGGTTGATGTTCCTACAGAAGACTGGCAATGTAGTACATGCAAAGCTCATAAGGTTACAGGAGTTGCTGATTGTATACCTGATGTTGAAAAAAATGGTTCACTTTGTCGTCAAGAACATTTAGGATTCGATAGGCATGGCAGAAAATATTGGTTCTTGGGAAGAAGAGTTTTTGTGTTAGTATACTTGGATGAAATAAGAGTTTTCTGTATTATAAATACTTTACCACATATTAAAAATAATTTTAAATTGCATTAATAAAATTATTTTGTAGTGAAAGCGAAGATGGTGAAGTTTGGTATTATAGCACATCTTTACAATTAGAAGAATTGATGCTTTGTTTAGACCGTAATGAAATGGAAGTTGCACTTTATAGAGAATTATCAGATTACAAAGATGAAATTGTAAGACAAATGGATCTTACAGAACAAATTACTAATCAGTACAAGGGTAATAAAAAGTCTTATCTAGAAATAGAAAACAGTAAGTTTAATTGCATTCCTTTCAGTTTTATTTGTGTTTTTAAAAAATATTGTACATTTTTAAATAATATTTCGTATTTTAGGTCTTATACAGAAACTACAAAAAGAACGCCAAGAAAAACAAGAAAAGGAAGAAGAGGAAAAAAAAGAGAAACAAAGACAGGAAGCTGAAGAAATGGTACGCAGAATACATGAAGGTTCAGATTCTCTTGAAGAACAGTTAGCAGCTGTTACTGAACAACAGGCAAAACCATCTGATGAGTCAAATGCAAGAGAAAATGCTCAAGACATGGTGACAGAAAATACAGAAGTAGATGGTGCAGATGCCAATTTAACAGATGTAACAACTAAAGGTGTCAAAGCTGGAGCATCAACATCATCATCTGAAGAAATTGATGAAGAAGTATTAGAAGGAGAAGAAGGCATTTCAAAAATCGGGAAAGATGGTAAGTTGTAAATAAATGGATTGATAGATTTTTATAATTATGGATTTCTATTGATTACAATGATCTACAATTAATAATCCCTTTTAATTTCATAGGTAAAAAACACACAATTGTAACAAGGTCAAAAACAGGGTCTTTACAACCTAGAACATTTAACATGGATGATTTAAAGAAACGCAGTACTGGACAATTGTCAAAAGAAGAATTGGAAAAATTGGATAAAAGTTTGAAAGAGGAAGGAGATGGAACCAGGTTGACAAGACAGAAAGCTCATCAAATAGCTTCTGGAACACATCTCTTTAAATTAGGAATGGACAACAACTTTAAATCATATGTGAATCAATATAGTACCAATCCTATTGCTTTGAATAAGGCTCAACGGAATGAAGAACGTGACAAGAAGAGACATTTATCACATAAGTTTTCACTCACACAGGCTTCTGAATTCAAATGGGTAGGAAGTTTGACAGGAACTCGTGCCCTTTTAGTAAGCACACTTCGTCAAACGATTCTTCAACTCGAAAGTAGTATTCAATCGTCATTTATGCACACCAATTGGCCACTTTTGCGTAAACCTTGGACAACGGCAGTGGGTGCTTGTGTTAATCCTAGAGACTTTGCACGTGCTCTTATTGTACTGCAAGCATGTATTAAATCAGTAGTGTTTGCTAGTGTATGGCACGATCAGCTTGGGCATGTAAAATTACAAAGAGTAACAGCACTTGAACGAGAAGAAAAGAAACGTCAAGATAAAAAAGATAAAAAAGAGAGGGAGGATGAAGAAGAACGTAATCGTTTGTTTAACTTCGTCAAATATACGTTAGGTTTGAAACATCAAGTGTGGAAACAAAAAGGGGAAGAATATCGAGTACATGGACAAGGCGGTTGGCTGTGGGTATCTGCTAGTCGCCGCTATAAGTTTTCCGACATGTCAAAATTAGGTCATCGAATGGGCTCTCAAAAAGTTATGGTACAAATTAAAGATCAGGAAGGCTTAAAAATATTAGCTTTAGATCCTCCTACATACGATTTTTTAATAAAGGAATATTGTCCTTCTAAAAAAGAGGAAAATAATACTGAGATTAGAATAAAACAAGAGATTAAAGAGGAAGAATCACCGAAGGATAGTCAAATTGATACATCTATAAAACAAGAGTGCAAAGAAGAAAACATAAAAACAGAACCAGGTGAAGATAAACAAAATAATGTAGAAACAGTTACAAAAACGGAAGTAACAACGGCAACAAAAACAGAGCCACAACCGATTAAGCAAGAAACAAAAATGAATTTATCATGTACGTATGATATCAAATACTCGGTCATTTTTAAATATGTACATTCAATATATAGTACCAATAAGTTCTTTTTTTGTTTCCTTTTTTAGTTTTAGCTGGCATGAAAATCGAGAAAGTCTATACACCTATCAGAGAATTTGAAGAAATTGATATTACTAAGGCACTAACTACTAATGGGAGACTTCATTATCCAAAAATTGCTAAGAAAACTAGAATTGACGATTTCTTGGCACGCAGAACACACTTAAAACTTTTGGAAGAAAGAAGATTACTGCAGTCTGTAAGTAAACATTATTTTATCAGTGAAAATAAGACAAATATAAGCAATGTTAAAATATTATTTGTGCATTTTTTGAATTATGCATCAATTATAGGAAAAATCGAAGGAACTCTTAAATCAATCAACGAATCAAAAAACGGATGGAGATTCTGAAATTGATATAGAAAATAACGAAGAAAGTGATACAGATGGAGGTGATAACTCCTTGCAAAGTATCCTTGCTGGAAAACAACCAAAAACTATGTCTACATCGGCTAGAGAAATGCTTGCTGTAATAGCAAAACGTATTCAACACGTTAAAGCTCAATACGCAAATATAATGAGACTTAGTAAAAATAGTAGTTGTTATTCGCGATATTGTAACATGACAGCTCCTCCGGGAAAGATTACAACTACGACACAAAGTTTAACTTCTGCATGTTATTCTCCGATATGTCTTCAGAAAGCAAGATTAAAACGTGATCTTATTACATTGTTAAGAAAAGCTAACGCTTTGAATAATAATCAATCATCGCCGAATTTATCAGTTGGTGCAAGTACAGCACAAGTATCACAGACGAGTTCAAAGATAGAAGGAAGCGACGAAGCTAAAGATGCAATTAGAAAAGATTTAGAATCTGCGGTAGCATCTGCAACTCACTGTACTGAAGAAACACCAGCTACTAATGTAGTGAAAGATGGAGCTTCACCTCCTGCTAAAAAAATGAAAATTGAATCTAATACGGTATGTTATGAAATTACATTAATATATTTGTCGTATTTATACATTCGAATAACTTAGTAAATACATTTAATTTATATACAAATGTTATTTTTAACAAAGGATTCTACTCATTTTATGTAAAGTATAAAAAAGAATTTATCCTTTTGTAGAATGCTAATAATAATACAGACTCAGAGCATGTTGATATAGTAACGACTACAACTAGTAACGTAGTTACTACTACGACAGTAACTACAACACAACAGACGATAAAAAAAGTTGATGGCGTTGTACAGAGTATGCAAGAAAATACAACCTCTCAAAATTCAGTAGCATTTTCATCTGAAGTTAAAACAAGGTAGTATACTTTTAAGTGTGTTTGTTAATAGTTGTACATGTTATCGATATAACATTTTATCTATATATTTTAACAATGTTAATAGCACGGGACAAAAGACGATGATTGTTAATCGGAGAGGAAGAACTGTACAAAGAAGTACAGTAGCTAAAGAATTAAATGCTGATGGCACAGAACGGGTGTATTCTGCTACTTCAGCTGAAGGCAAAATTTATTTGAAGAAAGTTGCAATTTCTTTAGCTGATAGAAAAAAGAAGCGTACTCCCGTTAAATATCCATTGTGTTCTACATTTTGCACAAAAAATAAACATCGTAGTATATTGCTACTACCACAACATGAATTACGTAAATTGGCTAGAGTTGGCGGACGAATACAAGTTCAAGGTTTTCATCAGATGGCTAAGGTATTTCTCATAAAATTTGTAGCAGTAACAAAGAAATGTAATTTAAATATCATTTAATTTGAATTCTTTTCATAAATATAGGCAAATATGTCGGTATGGCCATACCCTTGTCCTAGGCCGTTGTTTAAAACTTGTTGGTTGTACAGAACAGTTGGTATAAAATCATTGGCTGCAGCAGCCCTTCAGTTAAGAATATTATGGGCATGTCTTCGATGGGACGATATGGCTGCGAAACCATTGTCCACAGATGGCAAACATCAAATTACAACCGACACAGAAATTATGTCATTAGAAATTCTTAAACACCGTCATGTTGGTCAATTTTTAGATAAAACGCAGTACTTACGTAGGAAAGTTGTTATACCTTTGGAACTTCCAAAACAAGTTAGAGGTTTGTATATATAATATATATAAACTAATTTAAAATAATAATACGTTTCATGTAACATTATATACTATGTTTCGTAGAAGTTACGTCTATAAGAAGTGGTTTAAGAAAAAGAAAACGACCAGAATCACCACAAAGTACCGAACCTCAAGTTACAGAAGAATGGGTTGATGAGGATAAATTGGAATTGTGGGAAATTAAACAGTATGGTGACAGGTACGTTTATACAAAATTTTAAGCTATTTCATATAACTGATTCCATATTATGAGAATAAAAGAAAAAATTAAAAACATGAAATAATAATTCAATTCTCTGAAATGTTTACTTTCTCTAACACTTTAAAGACTACAACATTTTTTATAATACAATTCACTTTATTATATACAAGTACAATTACGATGAAATAAAAATATAAAGGATTGTATTAAATTCCTAGTGCTTTTACCTTATAACATCACTCAAATTCTGACCTATCCTTATTTAACACCATTTGATACTAACCCTCCACTTGGTGTGTGTTCCATTCAGGTTAGAGAAGGCTAATGCCCAGATTATTACTAGGAGTCGCTCGGGTCAACCACAATCCGCAGTTGGTTCTAATCGAAATGCAGGATCAAATTCTGGTATGAGCGATCAACTTGTTAGTGGTAAAGCAACACCTGAAGAAATCAAAGAAAAGATGGAGCAACAGTTACGAATGCAAAGAGCTGCTCATCAACAGAAGAGAGCATTAGAAACTTTAAAAAGTCCAGCCAATTCTGGTTCAGCTACTCAAGTTGTTAAAGTTACTGCTAACTCTGCTCATGAATCATTTATCACAGATGGCACAGTTAAATTGGTTTCTAAAGTAGCAATACCAGCAAATCCAAATAGTGGAACAAAATCACAGTTAACTTCCCTTTTGACAACTCCTGCACAGAACAAGACCTTTATTGGTACAAGACGTATTTATATGGCAAAATGTAAATATTGAATTAAATATGTATATGAAATGTAACATTTAATTGATAGTTATATATGCATACATAATATCTTCTTTGAAATAGCATCTGATGGAACAACAAAAGTTGTTTCGGGACCTACAAGTATTTTACCGAAAACGCAATTGCAAAGTGGAAATCAACAGTCTCTAATTAAAGTCTCTGGTCAAACAGGTATATATATATTTATCATG